TCTCCGACTCAGCTCCTCCCCGCCCCCGCCTTCCTCCGGGGAGGAGGCGCTGCGGACCCGGCCGCCCGGGCCCTCCTGGACGCGTTGGGCCCTTCCCCGCCGCTGCCCCAACCCCGGCTCTGTCTTCACAGCTGCTGGGGAAGAATGAATGCAACCTGGCCCCTTACCGCTCCCTGCTCCGTCCCTGCCTTCCTCTCACTCCTTCAGCCCCATCGACGGGGCGACACAGAGGGATGTACATCGCATGTCCCGGAGGGACTCTGGGTGTTGCTGCGGGACGGGGATGGAGTTGGGAGGGCTTGGGGTGTGTGTGTGTGTGTGTGTGTGTGTGTGTGTGTGTGTGTGTGTGTGTGTGTGTGTGTGTGTGTGTTTGGGGTGTGTGTGTGTGTGTGTGTGTGGTGTGTACAGGGAGGGAAGACTGCAAAGCTGTCCACATCTGCCAGGCCTGGACCGTGCCCTCCGTGAAAAGATGATTTTTACTTCCAGCACCGAGCGGCTTCACTAACCCCCACTGCTTTCACCAGCGGCAACCTTTGAATTGCACTTTTATTGTTTACAAACACCTTTGCCAGCTCTTTGCGAATCTGTCACCACAGGAAGTGTGAATCTGGGTTGAAAAATCTGGTTAATTTGACCCACCTCACCCCCTGAATCACTCGTCGCCAGGCGCCCTGTCCAGCTTTTCTGGAAGAAAGTAGTAATGGGAGCCCCTTCACGCAGGGTGCGCGGTGTGCCACCACCTGCTTTTCTCCAAGTCATCCCATTCTGCCCTTCCAGTCGTCCGCCCAGGGATTTCTGTTATCATCCCTGTTATACATGAGGAAACCAAAGCTCAGAGAGGTTAATTAGCTTGCCCAGGGTCACCCAGAGAGAAAGTGAAGCCAAGTAACCAGTGTGCTGCTCAGTTTCTCATTCCCAAAATTTGTCCCTGACCACCAGAATCCTGGCTCTTTAGGTGGACAGGACAGACTCTGGGAGCCCTCGTCTCTTGATCTATCTACTCTCTGTTCTGATTTCTTCATTTTCCTCCACACCTCTGCCGACCAGGGGCTCTCCCTTACGTCCACTTCTGTTGTTCAGGCTGTTCCTCTTCTGGATGAAATTCTCTCTTTTGTCCTGGGACCCTTCCCCCTTAGTCTTCACACTAGGCTGGTCCATCTGTGCTGGTGGAAACTCCTTCAGAAAGCCTGCTCTGACAGACCCTTTCCACATACACCCATGCCCCTCCCACACACCGTGCGCCATTCCTGGGCCCCCAGCACCCCAGTGTGCACCACACTGGGCCCCTCAATGCCTCCATGTGTGAGACCCAAACCCCTGTCTATCAGGACAGCAGGAGAGTCAGGGCTGACTTCTACCCCAACTGGGTCCTCTCCACCCCCTGTCACCATGGATTTCCAATTCCCAGATCCGCTGGAGGGGACCAGGGACAAGAAAACTTTGTGAGTTCAAAGAGCTGTTTACTAGCCAGAGGCATTGTTAATTTTTAATAAAGCCCTCCCCCAGAATGTGTGTAGATATGTGTGTGATTTCTTTGGAAGCCAGATCTTGCATTTCAAATACAGCCATATCTTGTTTCACTCTGCTACGCTTTATTGCATTTCACAGATACTGCATTTTTTACTAGTTGAAGGTTTGCAGCAACCTTTCATTGAACAAGTTATTGGTGTCATTTTTCCAGGGAACTCTGCTTACTTTGTGTTTCTGTGTTACATTTTGGTAATTCTAGTAGTATTTCAATTTTTTTTCATTTTTAAAATTATATTTGTTTTGGTCATCTGTGATTTTTTAATGTTAACTATTGCAAAAAGATTAGGACTTGCTGAAGGCTCAGATGAGGAGCAATAGAGTTGTGTGTTTTGTTTTGTTTTGAGAATAGAAAAGGAATTTATTAGGTTACGCTACCATAGACAACAGAGAACAGTGGGCCACACAAACAAGAGGTGCCTGTGTGAGCCTAGAGTATTTTTAAAATAAGGTATGTACATTACTTTTTAGACACAATGCTATTGCATACTTAATAGACTGCAGTATAGTGGAAACATAATTTTTATATACACTGGGAAACCAAAAAATTTGTGCGACTTGCCTTGTTGCAATATTCACTTTGTTGCAAAAGTCTGAAACCAAACCTGCAGTATCTTCAAGGTATTCCCGAAGCGATCGGCTGAAACCAGCTAGACAATAAGTCACTTGTGCCAAGCAACAGGCTATTTGGCCATTCAAGGATCACCTCTCAATGAGAAGCTAGGGCCAATATGCCACTGTTCCGACTAGATATTCTAGGTCACTAGGTAGGAATTTCAGAAATGAAACAGAAGAGCAAAGAGGTCCTCAGATGGCTTTACTCTGTGGACAGCATTCTTCTTGGAAATGCTTGGTTGGAGGTGTGAGAGTGGGTGTGGGCGTGTGCACTTGGGTTGCAAAATCCGGGAAAAGGTCTCACAGTACGATTCTCTGTTCAGGGGCATGTGGCGGGACACTGGTTACAATGTTTGGCAAACATCCTTGAGCTGGTTGCAGACAGGGGCTGCCTCAAGGTGGCTAGAGTCAGGGGGTACATCTTGTAGTGGGCAAGCCTGCTGCAGACCTCAAAGGGACCCCATGACTGCCTATCTCTGCGTTCCAGAGACAGAAGGGGGAGGGGGCTCCCGAAACCGGATGGGAAATTTACACACATTTTCCCTCTTCTTCTTGTTCCCTCCTCTCTGGATGGAGGGCAGGGCCTCCCAGGCAGGGCAGGGCCAGGGGCCTCAGTGGACCCTGCCTGAGCTGGCAGCCACACCAGGGTAAGAGGGTCATCACAGCTCACGTGTGCCAGATCAAGTGTGCACAGATGGGCACTGGGCTGGCCAGCCTGCTAGCACATGCATTTGCTTCACTCACAGCAGGGGAAGAGAGGCTCACCCAGTAGATCTGTGTTGTCTACCTCCAACATTTTCCCTCTCTGTCCACCTTGCTCCCCTCTTCCTTCCCAGGTGACAGTGTGGCTGGCTGGGCCTGGAATCCTGCCCAGGAAAGATGCAGAGGTGACCCAGTTCTCAGAGTAAGCAGACTTGATGCCTTTGCTCTGGAGAGTGCAGCTCCCAGGGGCGTGGTTGCATCATAGGTGTGTATGTGGCTGAGCAAGGGATCCAGCCACCCACACCCTCATTCCCTCTTAGCCTGGGCCCGGGCTCAGGCCTGGGTCTGTGCCTGTGATGTGGCCTCAGTCTGGCCCTGCAGCTGTGCCCTCACTGCACCCAACAGGAAATCAAGGCCACTTCTGAGCTAGGCCTAGCAGCCCTCCCTCCCCCATGGAGCTGGGAGGGGAAAGGCCCCTTTACTTCCCAAATGGTTGATTGGTAGAGGGGGAGCTCCGGGGCCCAAGTGGCAACATCAAAGGCAGACTCTGCTAGTTGTGAAATTCTCCCTTCTAGCCTCCCCTGGACACGGCCTTTGACAGTTTATGGGACACAGGATGCCCACTGGAATCCGGAGCAGGAAGCAAATCCACAGGAAGAGCCTGGATACCAGGATGGAAGATTCCACCTCTACTTCCAAGTGTCAAGCTGGGGGCCTGCTTTTCTTTGTCCTTTTGCGAGTCCCCATGGTGCACTCTCTGAACCCTTCTCGGCCCTCCTTTCAGGTTTTCCCCCAAGTCTCTCCTTCCAGCACCACCCCTCTCTCCACTGCAGGCATTGGGGCCTGAATCTCTATCAGGCTGCTTCACAGGCTCTGTGTCTTTCAGGGAGTTAATTCCACCAGAGTCGGAGTGTTTTTGGAATTAGGCTTCACAATGATTGAGGTAAGAGAATGTCATCCTAAAATATGAAGGAGCCTTTACTTTCCAGACTGCACACATCCCTTGAGCCTCACTCTGTGCCCCTTGGCTTCTGATGCTCCCACAGGCCCAGGGCCAGGATGATTCCTGCGGACATGAAGTCCCATCAGGGAGGGAGCTCTGAACACTGCTCCTATCTCCTCCCACTGCTTTAAACCTCAGGAGCACACCCCTCCCTATATTCTCATCTGGGCAGCCATCAGGCTGGGGAAGGGAACAGGGATGGAAATCTCAGAACTGGCATATTAGAGGCAGGAAAGGAGGGAAGGTCATTTTGAAATATCAACTTAGCCCCAAGCACCTGCCTCTTCCGCAGAGCTACCCTGTACTGAGTGGGTTCTGATTTGGGGGATGTGCACTGCTGCTTGGAAAGACCCTCTGCTCCCGGCAAGAGGTCCCAGGGAACGTGAGGCAGTTCCAGGGTTTGCAAGACTCCTTGCAGAAAAGAGCCCGGGGCAGGTGTCTGAGGCGGCTGGGGCAGGGCCAGTGTGATGGAAGAGTGCCCCCTAGCGAGCCTCATCCTTAGGCTGCTAGGGCCAGCTCCGCCCAGGGCTCCCAAGGTGGACCTGGGGTTCCCGAGGGGTTGGGGAGGGGGTTTGTTTGGGACAGAATTTCATCTGAGGGATACCTCTCTCCCAGGCCCCTCCAAGAACGGACTAATGTCTCCTGTCATGTTTCTCAGCTTTCCTCGCATTTCAGCCTCTCCTAGGCTTTCCCTTGTTCTTCAAAGAGATACCACCTTTAACACAAACATTGACATTGAGGAAACATCTGTCATTTACTCACCTATTCGCCCTTTCATGCATTTCTTCTGTCTTGTATTTCATGTATTAGTTCAATAAGTTTTTCCTGAGCCCCAGCTCTAAGCCAGACCTGGTGACTCTAAGAGGGGTCTCCATCCTTGCAGAGCTCACAGATCACAGGGTGCAGGGGAGAAAATGTAGAGAGCTTCACACTAGAGGAAGGAAATATGGGCATAGAGAGGGAATCCTGGCAGGCTTCCACTAGGAGATGCTTCTCAAGCTGAGTACTGCAGGCCAAGATGGGCTGTGAGCCTGGCATCTGGAGAACTTGCACTAGAAGCACAGATCCCCCTGGCTCACTAAAACAGAAGCAGGATGTGTCAAGCCATTCACAGGTGGCTTCTGATCTCCAGCCACTCATATGTCCCTGTCCTGGAGTAATTCTGGGACAGAAGGACTCCCAGGGGACACAAGGAAACTTTGGGGGCTGCTACATACATTTCCTGTCTTGATTGTGGTGTGCAGATGTCCACATGGATCAAATTGTGTACTTTAAGTCAGTGTTGTTTACTGTAAGTCTGGTATACCTCCATAAAAAAGAAAAATGTAGTAAGTTACATAGCGCTGCAATGTGAAAAGCAGTGCTAATTGCACGCTTCTCCCCACTCACTTCCATTCCCAAGAGACAACCACTTTCCAGCCTTTTAGATACTCTGTTATTTACACCTCAATTTCTAAAAAAGCTTCAATTTCATGGTGTTTCTTTTTTAGGTACCATCTGTCTACTTCCTACTACCTTTTACTCACCACATATCCACACAGACGCTTACCCACACATACACTTCTCTCCTCCACCCTCCACATGGCAACATGACACTTTGGTCAAATTACTATCCAGTGTTTATGTTATTGTGACTATGTAAATACCGTTCATAGCTGAATCACATACTGTGCCATGATGACACTTCCTTTCTTTTACAACTTTTGTTTTCCTTGGAGTTAAATATTTGCCTGACTTTTTTCCTTTTCTCTTTTTCATGGCATGCTACATATTTAGCATTAATTTGTGCCCAAATGGACAGAAAAAAACCCCTAAAATTCCACCCAACGAAGGTAGACCCACTGGTGTTCGATCAGGTCCATTTTGGGTTGGATTTAGGGATGGATGCCTTAGGGCCATCCCTGCTGGGGAGTTGGGATGGGGTGCTCTCTGGTCCCAACGAACAGCTTCCCTCCAGACATCTCCCTTCATCTTCACTGCTGGCCCTCCCTTCACTTCTCTTCTGTTTGGTTCCTTATTTTCTGGATTCCTCGTCTTCATCTTCTAGTAGCTTCCTAGGAATGGAACTGTGGGAGGCAAACAGTTTTTAAACTTTCACATCTCCGAGTGTCTTTACTCTATCCTCATGCTCTGTTGTTGATAGCTGGCTGGGTATGAAATTCTAGCTTAGAAATGAATTTCCCTCTGTATTTTGACAGTGTTGCTCCATTGTCTCCTTGCTTCCAATGCTGCTGTTGAGAAAAATGATGTGATTCTGAGTCCTGATCTGTGGATAGAAACCATTTTCTCTCTGGAAGCTTTTAGGATTTTCTTGGCATGTCCAATATCCTGAAATTTCCCAGCAATGTCCTTTTCTATGCTTTTATTCTTTGTTCTGGGACAAACAGACAACTTTGTTTATGGGCCTTTCAATCTGGTATCTTAGGTCCCTAAGCACTGGGAAATTTTCTCATATGATTTTTTTTTAGCAGGTTTTTACATTTTTTTAAAGCAGGTTTTTACTTTTTTTTTTTTAAAGTCAGATCTCCTATGATTTTCGTGGTACTTTTCGCCAGTTTAACTGTTCTCTTTTTGGGCACTCCAGTTATTTGGATGTCGGAACTCTCAACATGATTCTCTAATTTTAAAATCTTTCTTTCCTATTATCTTTATTTTTTTCTGGGAAAATTCCACCGCTTTCTATTTCAACCCTTCTGTATTTTTGCTGTCATTTCTAATTTTCAAGAGCTGTTCCTTATTCAGTGTTCCCTTTTAGAACATCACCCTCTTGTTATGTGAATTAACGGTCTCTCTTATCCCTCTGGAAATGGTATTTATAATGAAAATTGTTTTCTTATTCCCGTCTGCACATTATCTCTGTTTCCTTGGAGTTCATTTTTTTTTCTGTTTGTTTGTTTTGGTCTCTGTTTTTCGTAGTTAAGGCCTCCCTCAAATGACTTGGATTCTTGGCTGTCCGGTCTTGTTTAAGAGAAAGGCTTTTCACAGCTGTGGATGCAGAGGTAGATTCTTGGCAGGTCTCACAGATAAAGGATGGGATGCAATGCTGGCCCTGATTGGGGGGACCCCAAAAATATCAGAATATGTAGGTCATTTCCATTGAGCCAGTCAGTTTCCCAGTGAAGGAATTTCCTGCCTGAAGGCTGGCAGCCTGGCTGCCTGTGTTTCGAGAGCCGAACAGGGAAAGGGAGAGAAGGGGGTTTAAGGGGAGTGACTCTACCCACCCCCGCCACCGCGGCCGGCAGTCTCTCCACTTGGCTGCGGGGATTGGAGGGGGAGGTGCAGGGGAAAGGATGGTCTCTTCTTCTTGTGGTGAGGGAGGGGTCTTCCGAGGGTGCATCTTTCACAAGGCTTTCAGCCCACCCGCCGGGTTTCAGCCTCCGCTCGCCTCTGTCTTGGAGATGCTGGGGACTCCATTTGCTGAGAGTGTCTGAGGCTCTGCCCAGCTTGCTTCTTTCCCTCCCGAAACACCCTGCAGTGAGAAGAAAGCTAAGCCCTCATCTCTCTGCTTTCCATTCCCCAGAATTCTGCTGGCCTCGCCCTCCTGCCCTCCCCTCTCCTGCCTTCTTTGGCCGAGGAGTTGGGCTTTGGCCTTTCACCTCTTTCCTGCCCTGTGGGCGAGGCGTGAGGCGGGGCCTGGGTGAAGGTGCTGGTCTCTCCTTCCTCCCAGTTTGGCTGGTCTGGACCTCCTCTTGGTTTTTCTCACTGAGGTGGCTCATGCCGGGCCATGTCAGGACTGGTGTGGGCACTTGGGCAGGAAGCTGGCAAACTCAGGGTTGTTCAGCTGGTTCTGTGACTTCAGGGCTGGCTCTCCCTGCTGTGGGCCGGGTCCACGTACATCCTCCCAGGATAAGCCAGGATGGGGGGCTTCCGTGACTAAATGGCACACGGTGCTTTGCTACCCAGGCACGGCAGGGCTGCAGCCAAGACTTTGGACAGGAAGACTCGAGGCTTGGGGGTTTCGAGCTTCAGTTCCAGGAGGTTGCTGGTTCTCCCTTGAGACACCACCTTGTCCTCCCAAACCTGGGTATTTGGGAGAAGGCTGGCCCGGACAGGATGGAAACATCCTGATAACTGGCTTATTTTGTGCACAAGCTCTCAGGGTGTGTTGTTGTGGGGTGCTCCAAGAAACCTGTGGTCAAATGTGCAAGGGAGACTCCATAAACAGTATTGCTCCCTCTGAAGTCTGAAACCCTCAGCAGGAAGGAAGCCATATCTGTGTTTAAAGCACCCACATAAGTGAGGACAGGCTGAAAGAAAGACTGATCTGAAAAGGTATCAGGCAGTGGACAATTGGAGTCCAGTCTATCATCCTGGTGGGAAGTAAGATGGCCCCAGAGTTGGAGGCAGTGAAGAAAGCCGCCCATATTTAGGCTAGTCCTTGGCTAAATTCTGTTGGAAGCCCGGTGGGTCTTGGCTGCCTGGCCTGCTTTTCCAGATCCTTTTGGCAGACCCTCCCCCAACACCAGCCCAAATCCAAAGTGGCTGATGCTGGGGGAGACATGGAATCCGACACCGGGACAAAGAAGTGACCCTGGAGAGGCACAGAGACAGTGCATCCTCTGAGGTCAGCAGGGACAGAGGTGCATCAGTTACAGGGAGCAGAGGGCAGAAAGACTTTAAAGCACAGTTTGATGAATTTTGGTAATTCTGTCTAGCTATGTAACCACAGTCACAATAAAGATTTAGGTCGTTTCCGTCTCTTTAAAGAGTTTCCTTGTGCTGATCTGCAGGAAATTTCCTCCCTTGATTCCCAGCCCCAAGTAACCACAGGTGTGCTTTCTGTCACTATCGTTTTGCCTTTTCTAGAATTTTATAAAACTAGAATCATTAATCTTACAATAAGTAGCCTTTGATACGTAGCTTGATTTCTTCCTGTTAGCATTTTTCTTTTCAGAGTCTTTTAATTTGTTGTCTGTGTGAATATTCCATTCCTTTTTAAAAGATGAGCAGTATTTCCGGGTAGAGATGTACCACAGTTTGTCCTTTCTCAGTTGGTGGATATTTGGGTAGTTTCCAGTCTGGGGGTCATTATAAATAAATTTGCTGTGAATATTCATGTACATGTCTTTGTGTGGACACACATTTTTATTTCTCTTGGGTGAACAGCTAGGTATGAAATTGCTGGGTATGAGGAAAGTGTGGGCTTCACTTTATAAGATACCACCACAATGTTTTACTAAGCAGTGAACCATTTTACATCCCCACCACTAATGTAGGGGTATGTCTAGTTGCTCCACATCTGTCAGCACTTGTTATTGTCAACCTTTTAAATTTTACCCACTCTAGTGGAACCATAATGGTGCCTCATCATGGTTTTAGTTTGTTACTCTCTGATGAATAGTGATGTTGATCATCTTTTCATGTGCTTATTTGCCACGCATACATCTTTTATGAAGTGTCTGTTCAAATGTTTTGCCCATTTAAAAAATTGTCTTCTTTTTATTGAATTGTAAAAGTTCTTTATATATTCTGGATAGAAGTCTTTAAAAATGTTTTTGTTTTTAAAAAATTTTCTTTGGAATGGGGAGGTAATTAGGCTTATTTATTTGTTTTAATGGAGGTACTGGGGATTGAACCCAGGACCTCATGCCTGCTAAGCATACACTCTACCACTGAGCTATACCCACCCTGCTGGATACAAGTCTTTTCTGAGATACGGTTTGCAAATATTTTCTCCCAGTCTGTGGCTTGCCTTTCCTTTTGAGTTGGAGATGAAC